TAGATAATGTGAAATAGGAAGAAAAGGGGCAAAGGGGAAGGGGAAGTGGGAGGGGTAGGAGAAAGGAAAGAAGGAAATGGAATTAATATGAGAAAATGAAAAAAATGGAAAGTCTTTGTAAATAGGAGGGATGGAGGGGTTGAAGAGAGGGCAGGGGAATGGGAAAAAAATAAGAACCAAGAGAGATTATGTAAAGGTGCGAATTTCCAATGATGAATGGCATTATATTGTATACCTAAAATGTACCGACAAAATTAATTTTTAAAAAAAGACTTCTTACCTGATAGAGCATCAGCCGCTTCCACAGGCCCCTGAATTCTTGGATGCTCATAGTACCTGATGCAGTAAGCTGATAACAAGTTAAGGTAAAAGCTTCCAGGGGACAGTTCCTTCTTCAACTCTACATAGCTGCATGCAGTTTGTGTGCAGCCCTGCTCAATGGATGATATCCCTACCTGACCTCCCTTGCTGGCTGGTCCATTCCAAGGCTCCTTCAGCCTTGGTAGGAAAGGACAGAATGAGCCAGAACACACCAGCTCTGGGAGAAGTGACAATAATGGAGCTGATGATGGTGATGACAACAGCTACCATGTAGTGAAGCAGGATATGTTGACACACCAGTTCCATGTGATTTAAACAAAACTCAGTAACTTTTTTATCTTTGTGGTTAAAATTAATGTATGGAAAGAGTTAGGCACAGAGTGGCTAAGGATGTCTGTAAGTCATCTTTTAAAAAGTTGAAAGTTTAATGGTTGGCCTTGTAGACCACATGCAAATACCCAGGCACCAGAGAGACTGCGTCAAAATACCATGGCACACCATCTCACATGGCCTAGCACCGAGTGACACTTCGATTTTCCCTATGACACTTCGATTACACCTACTGGGTCAGGTACGCATTAGCTCCCTCACATGCTAGAGAATGAAATGAGCAAGCAGTCAAAGAGGTTATGATCTTGTCCAAGTTCATAAAACTGGTGACACAAGGCCAAGACCTGTCTCAATGCCTACCTAACCACCATCCCACACTGCCTCTGAGAGATTGCAAAGATCACCCATGTTTTCACAACCCTCAGGCTACTCATTTTCTATGTCTCTGTAGGATGGATAATCAAACCTTGATTAAATTGTCCATTTAGAAAGAGAATTTTCCAGAAAAATTAAAGGGCTAAGAGCCAGGAAAGCTGAGTTTATAGCCTATCTTTAACTTCCCGGAGCTCTGGTTTTCTTATCTGTAAATGGAGTAGCTACATCCTTGTCACCAAATGAAAGTCTTAGGACCCTAAACCTCTTGTGAAGGCCTCTTGTGAAGCTGACCACCACTCTGCAGCTGTCTCTTCCCCACTCCCAGGAAGTGAGATTATTATTATTGATAGCTATTTTGATCACTTGTTAGATGGCAGTTCTGACCTCAGCACTTTGCCTGTGTTAGCCATTTGCATTCTCACTCCAGTCCTGAGGAGTAGGTCTTGACATTCTCTCGCTGCTTCAGATGAACACTTGGAGTCCAGAGAGGCTCAGTGACTTATCCAAGATCACACACCCAGTAAGGTCTGGGCGTGAGATTCAAACCCAGACAGACCATGTCTACGGTGGTGCTCTCAACCAGCAGCACACATCTGCTCACACACCTGAAAGGATACATCCAGGAGGGCCAGGATCCCCTGACAGGAATCAAGGCTGAAGAGCGGTGGTGCGTTTGCCAGACCTGTAAGGGACAGGAGTCAGCATGGAGGGCTGGCCCAGAGCTTCAGCCCCCATTCTGAACAGGAAGTGGCTATGCTGCCCAGACCAGCCACAGCTTCTGGTGACACCACAGAAGCTGGAGGGACAGAACGAGGAGATTGGGGCCTGGTGGTGATTCCTATACTGTGTAGAAGACTACTGGCTCTGGGGGGCTTTGCTTACACAGCGGGCCAGACGCACATACTCTGTACCTATGGAGGGCTGGGGTCATAGGCACAGGCTCCCAAATCTGAAAGACAGCTCCACTCACCAGAAACTTCTTCTGTTAAGTCCAGTGGAACCTTCTGTGATATTTGCCCACTGGTTCTGGTTATGTCTCATAAAATGGCATTTGTCTCCTCTTTGACGTCTCCCCTCTCTTCTAAACATCTCAAACTACTCCTCAAATGATAGGGTTTTTAAACCCTTGTTGGCCCTTTTTGGACACTGTATTTTTTATCTGTCTGAAACATGGTACCAAAACTTGGAACACAATCCTTGAGATGCAATTTTATCAGAATACAATAGGCTTGTGGCTTCCAAAGTTTTTAGCTCACATTTCCAAAATTATGTTCCAAGGGAGATGTTCTGCAGAGAAAGTGTTTTCTGATCAAATAAATTTAGGATGCTTTGTATCTGTAGCCCAACTTCTTCCTTCACCAAGATCCTTAGCCAAAAATGAAATTTTGTGTGATAAAGTAGTTTCCAAATATCATTAACCATAAAACCTAACTCCTCTTATTTCATGGAATACTTACCAAACCCCCTTTACAAAACTGATTTGCATACTTGTGATCAAGGCATTTAAAGCATTTTAGGCCACCACTTCTAGATAATTTCCTTAGAATTAGTCTAGAATTTTTCGGAGGGGGAAAATTTCAAATGTTCTAATTTCTGGAGTCTTCTCTTCTGGTTCTTTTACTGATAACCAAATCTGGCTCTGAGAAACCATCTGGAAATTATTTCAAAGCCTGAGCCATACAATATGTTAGACTGTAATTTGTCTGCATTTGAAATATTGGCTTCGTATAAAGGAGAAGCAATCATATAAATTAGGTAGCAAATACCCTTTAATTATTTGTTTTCATTTTGTCACTTTGAAGCTCATTCACCTTTCTGGAGAAATCAGCCTGTTCCCTCCATGTTCTTCTCACTTCAAATGTGTGTGTAAAATATTTCTATATGGTCGCGAAGCTTTCTGTATAACTTATTCCAGGCTCTGTGGGAAAGCATCAACGCTACTCATTGGCAGTCTCCCTCGATGATATGTTTGTTCTCTCCTTCCAGGTTTATGTAGCTTGGTAGATTTAAGTATGAGTTCATGCAAGAGCTCCCTAGGTAGGCTTACCAATGCTAATATTCATCTCACATGCTGCAGAAATGAGTGCAATTTTTCCGCATGGAATTGGTACGCTAAGAAAGGACTCAGCTATTTCTCTGAAACTAACAAGTGCCAGAAATCTGTTTTTCACTGCCATATGTCTCTCGCACCCAAACTAAACAAAATAATAACTATTTTCAAAGCTGAACAAAATCTTCTTCTGCTTTCAGACCACAGGTGCCTAACACAGCTGCCAGACGAAGCAGGTCCCAGTGACTGAAATGTCCCAACAAGAGGATGAGAAGCAGAGCCAGCATTCACAAGTGTGTCCTCTCGGGTGACTCTTGAATAGTTACCTGGCCAGATCACGTGGTTCAGGATCTTCTGCAATTGAACTGCATTTATTTCTGGATACTGAAGTGAAAGCCGAATGGTAAGAGAAAACCACGGTTACTGAGAGCTCATTAGATAGCAGGGAGGCCACAAGTAAAGCAGCTGAGGGCATCCTATCTAGTACGATTACGTGCCATTTCTGAGCAGAAAGATCTCGCACCATTATATTGTGTTTAAGGAATCTAATTAAGTCTGGAATTTCACAAGAACTATGATGTTTTTTAATTGGGTGCCAAATCCAGAGCACCCCAATACAGCAGGACATATAGGGAGCAGGCATCTCGAGGTGTTTCAGAAGTTCAACAATTTGCTTTGTGTTTTCTTCTTTATGAAATGGCATCAGCCAGAATTCTAGATTTTAATTTTAGAGTTTATTAAAAGTAACTCTTTATATTAACATTTGACTTTAGAATATATCAGTGAAATACAAGTACTATACACTTGAATTTCTAAAACTGGTAATCTTCATAAATGTACAATTTTAACCTGATTTTTTATACATACAGTGATACCTCAATTGTTGAACTCAAATAAATTCATCCCAAATTCATGTTTGAACACTGAAAAGTTCGAGAACTGAATATATTTTTCCTATAAGAAATAATGGAAAACCAAATAATTGATTCTGAGGCTCAAAAATTACACATAAACTTATTTTTCGAAGACTTGAACAAATATCACAATGATTTCTTTTTTTAACTCTATAATGACTCTTAGTTTTCCTCTTAGCTTTACTGCTGGCGTCACTAACTTTCTTTGGAGCCATGGTTATGATATTTTACACAAATAAAGTGTGAAAAGACGGAGCACGATGATGAATGCTGTAACACACTAACACAAGCACTGTATGCTGAAGGGCGAGAGCTGCACTTAGACCGAAGCATTGCCCCTTTGTGTCCATGCTGAGAGGCGACACGTGACTCACTCTCTGCCGGACAGGGCTTTTCAAGTCAGATTTTTGGACTGACTACTCAGCAAAGTCACGAACACCGAACAAAGTTTGAACTTGGAGCCATTTGACAATGGAGGTATCACTGTATTGGGATTCTCTGTGAGATTTCATTTGATAAAAGGACTGCACTATAAAATGTTTAGAAACTCCTGGTATGGAGGAAGACAACACATGTGAGATTCTGATTTGTTTTCTCTGGCAACACTAAGCAAAATGCCAGATGGGGGAGGCGGGAAGCTGTGAATTTAAATCGGGAGTATCACTCACACAAAGAGTTCATGTTCTTCCAATTTTAATGACAAATATCAGGCTGTAGATTCCTACTATGTCCCTTTCCAGATTCCTAAATGTCAGGCGAGTTAGGGAAAGAGGGGCCCTAGGACCTTGTACTTACCCCAAGGCCTTCTGCTAGTGTCCATCTGGATCAGCCCAGGAAAGAACTCGAGGGGTCCAGAGCCACGGCTGCAGGCCCCCCTCCTCCATTGTGCCTTCTTATCCCACACCCTCTCCAGGCCACCACGCGAGGGAACTGTCTTCAGATGTGCACCCGTAGACCCCCAGGACTGTCACTGTCACACACCCTCAACTCCATCTTGTTCTCAATGCTGATTATCAGCTCTGCAATATGCCACATTCTCAAAGAGTAAAGATTAAAGTTGCTTCTCCTACAACTAATCAATGCAGCTTCTGAGACTAGAATATCATTTACACGAGCCTTCTGGAGACGATGACTCTATTCACCCATCTAAAAACATTAGGACTTTAATAGAAAGAGGCAATTTGGGGATAGGTGGCCTTAAATCACTGTTTATACACACCATCAAGCAGATACAAACCCACACTTCACTGCAATGACACGCTCCACTTTGTCCCCTGCTCCTCCCACCCCTCTGTACTGTATCCAGTCAACTAACCTTTCCAAAGACTTTGGTGAAGAATTCATCCTGCCCTTTGTTTTGATCTACTATCTCCTGTAGGAACAAACACAGAACAGAGAGAGGAAATTCTCCACCTGTATAAATGACTCATATGCACATGCTAATGTCACACAGCTGGGAAATTGACTTACTTTGTCCTAAATTTCCCACCATATGATTCTCGCTGATATTGGGGGGAAAACAAGCAGTCAAATGAGTACAAGAAATACCAGGTAGAGAGAAGCAGAAGGAAGTATATGTGTTACTCATGAACCTGGGGGCCTGGGTTCTCAGTGACAAGGACTGAGCAGAAGGGCAGGTCTCGCTGTTTCTCGGTGCACACACAGCACAACCCAGGAGCTCCCAGAGTACAGTGGGCGATGTGGTACATTTGCTGCACGGCAGGCTCTACCCGGATCTGCATACCTCCTTCCCCTCACTAACGATTCGGGAGATACTCACCATCCGAGCTTTGAGATACCCACCGTCTAAGGTGAGATCACTCACCTTAGAGAAGGCCACACTGGAATTGCTGCCCAGTTCACTGAGAAAGGAGAAGGACAGAGATTTTCATTCTGGAACCATTTTGGGAATCACTGGACCAACGTCAGCTCTCCCCTGGGAACTCATCTTCGAAGTTCCAAAGCTGAAGCACCTGTGGGCCCACCTTGCTCACAGCTTCTCCTTCAACTGTTCCTTCAAGCACCCTGGCCAGCCACAGCCATGTGACATGATCGCTGCTCCTAACTCCCCATGACCCCCTCTCCCTCCCCCTACTCTTAGTCTAAGACCTGGTGTGTGCACACTGATTCACCTGCGTGCTACGGTGGCTGAGCCTGCTAGTGAACAACAGTCTCCCTTCATCCGAATAAGCCCCTTGTGCTTTTTCAGAGTCACCACCAGCCTGAATCCATCTGATTCCCTGGGATCACAGAGGGCAGCTCACATGCCTATCACTCATGTCCATGTGCGTGCCAGTGTGAATACTGGGAATACTGTCACACCGTGAGGACAGGGCCCACGGCTGCTCTATCTTTCTATCTGGCACCCAGTATGGTTAGTTGGTTAGTGGAAGGAGAAGGGGAAGGCGGAAGAAGCATGAACTCCGTGGGGAAAGTGACTCTGGTGCCTTGCTCTGTCGTCTGCCCTTCCCAGCCTCAGCCACACTGCTACCCCTGGGCCCAACCTGTGTCCTTACTGTAAGGTGTGCTTCCTGGAGAACAGCCTGAGGAGGAACTCCGCCTCCTTGTGGGCCTCGGATGTGCAGGGCACGAGGAGGTACGTGCCAGGCTCCAGCCACAGCTCCCGACTCACTTCCCTCTCTGTGAGGAACACCTCGGGCCAGCTCAGGGGAGCATTGCTCCAGAAGAACTCAGGGGGCAGCTTCCTCTGGTCCTCATAGCACTATAGGTGGGGGACAGAAGGACACCAGTGAAGGTGGTCACCCAGAGCCTGGGCCTGGGCCATCAGCCAGGAACCAGGGCTGAGGTGGCCTCAGATCATTCAAATCCAATGTTCCTGGTGGAAGATGAGGCTGAGTGGTGAGGAGCAGGGAAAGGCAGAACACGTGTGTGTTGGGGTCACCCTCTCTGGAGCCCTGTGGGGCTGCTGTAAACTGATTTGATGTCACATTGGGAACAATGTGGACACCAAATGATGTAAGAAACATCCCAGTGCCTTCAGGATCCATTTCACAGTTGAAGGGCCTAGGCTCACACCGGTGGGTCGTCTGTCCTGGGAAGAGTTTCGGTTGGGACTGGGATTCAGGACCACTGAGCTCCAACTCTCTTTGTACTTCCTGATGCTGCCTTCACATATGGCACATCATAGGTTGACGATGACACCACTGATAGTCACAGACACTGACAGACACTGCCATCCCCTGCCTGCATCATAGCAGCTGCCCACGGACATGCTGGACTTTGTAGGCCACCTCAGTGAAACTGGTGAGAGAACACAGATGACCTGAGACAGGCCTCTGGATGTGCACATGTGCCCTGTTACCTGGTTTTCTTTCTCCTTCTCTCCTTCCTTCCTTCATCCCTTTTTATTTCCCCATCTCTCCTCTTATATCCTCTTCCTTTTATTCCCATTCAAGACTAAGCTGGAAGAAAAACTCCATACCAGTTTCCTTTCTCCAGTTTACATACAAAGGCTGATGAAGACATTGCTCATCCACATAAAAACATTAGCAGATTCCACTCAGGGCTGATGATGCAAAATGGATCAACTGATGACACATTTCTCTGATCAGAAAATGAGAACTAGGGAATCATCCAGGTGTCTTCTTTGCCTACCTGCTACAAATTTCAGAGCTAAATATTACAACCAGCCATAGTAGCTATCCTGGGTTTAGTTTTTTGGGTTGTTTTTTTTTGATAGAATCAACTGCCTTCCCTCACCCAATTATGACTTTTACTTACCTTTTTTGGTTTTATAACTGATTTACAGTTTTCCTTATTTATCTTTTTATTGCAGATCGACCCAAATCCTATTTAGATGGTGGCATGATATAAATTTTTCTTTTTAAATTAGAAGGCAACTTTGGGAGCACACAGAATTCCCGCAAGAGGGAAAAGCAAATACAAAACCAAAATCATGACCCAGTGCAAAATTTTTTGTTTATAAAAGCCCTTTCATTTGATTCAGTCCAACCTGAGAAAATTAGGGTTTTCATTAGGGAACAAAATCATAGCTGCCACTCTCCGTTTTTGGAATACCTCAGGCCTTCTTCCCAACACCAAGAGACTACAACAGGGTTCTTCTGTCCCTCTGCCTGTGTCCCCCATTTTCCCAAACCTTAGTCCCCCAAGGAGGTGGGATGTGTGGTATCTTGATGTCCTTTTATGTGTTAGCTCTATTTTGTTTTGGGCTTCATCACTCAGGTGAGGCTGTGATTTGCCATCCTTCCTGTGCTGTGACAGCCTTCAATATGAGCCCTAGATATTTATGTAGGAATTTAATGAATTCTAAAATTTATTGGTTCTATGCTAGGTGGAGACTTTCTTATAGAAGAATAAGGATTCATTAGAGTCTTTGGATAAAAAAAAGAACAGGAGCTACTCTTTACTTACACACCATGCACACACACGTAGTTGGCACTAACATCAGACATTCTCATAGCTTCTTCTTACACAAGGCTGCCCCACTGAAAGGCAATCACACAGCAGCCTGGCCACATTCGTACACTCCAAACGAGGGCTTTTGGTCAAGTGTGGGACTCACCTTGCTCACCTGAAACACAACAACAACACAAAAGAGATCTGATCAGTCAGGGGCCCCTGATTGTTCACAAGCCAAGCCCTGGTGGGAGCTGACAGAGAGGGCTCTACCCTGAACCACCCCGTCCAAGCATTTTCATCCATCATCAGAAACAGGAGGAAAGTGTGAGGGAAGGAAGCCTTGCTTGTTGGGAGAAAAAAAGGAAACCCATACTGATTGTTTCACCTGCGAGCAGGGCACAGTGAAAAGACTTTCATATGGCCTTCTCTTCTGCCACGCTTTGCATTAATATCACAGACCTCATTTACAGATGGAGAAACTGATTTTCCAGTGAAAGGAAGTGACTTGTCCTAGATGACATATTCCCAAGAACAGAGCCAGCCTTTGAACCCGGGTCTAAGGACAGAGACCAATGATGAAGAGGACAGGAACCAAGAAGAAATGACAGCTGCCAGGGACCCCAGGCTGGGCCTCAAGCCCCCAGCCCCAGGACCACCTACTCTGAAGAGGAAGAAGCCGATGGCCAGGCGAGGCTTCCGGTTGCGGTGCCTGTGTCTAGGCTTCTGGAGCAGAGACACCAGCAGGCTGCAGGGACCCCGGGACCTCCTGCCCTCCTCAGGCCTCCAGATGGACAGCAGGAACTGTGGGTTCTTCCAAAATGTGTCTAGGCAGAGTGCAGCAAGGTGTAATGGCCCCAAGCATCCTGCTCCCCACGCCACCGAGGACACCGAGGCAGAGTTGGGGTCCTGTGCCCTCAGCTCCATGCCCCCTCCATGCCCTGCTCTTCTGTACACTGTGCCCAGAGCTGTCGCCACCATAACCCCTGTGCCCAGCAGAGCCTGGCCCGGATGTGGTGCCCTACAAACAGCTGCTTCCTGAATAAGTGAGTCGGAGAACCCACCTAGGGGAATATGCCCAGGATCCTCGGGCCTTCACGTTTTCACAGAGGTGGGCAGCTCAACCCTTTGGAGAAATACAGAAGTAGGAGGGAGTAGTCACCAGAGCTGAGGCCACCCTGGCCCGCTGAGATCATACCCAGAGCCCTTTCCTAGCAAAGGGAGGCTCACCACCTCCACCGCAGAGCAGGGGATGCAGCCACCAACCCGCCCTCTTGAGAACTTAGATGTGTTTGTTTCCTCTAAATGGAGAACCAAGAGTCCTGCTTTTGTGTCCCTACCAGGCTCCCATGAAAAAGGCCTAATAACCATACTACAATTACTATTTCATTTCTGTCTTTCAGGAGAATTACTTCAGTGTATCAATGGCCTTGTCCTAAAACCAAAGACTTCATCCACCCTCCACCATGCCTGCTGCCCGTGGCTTCTTCCTACTGTGATTGGAAAAGGCGCCCTCTGGGGAGTAGCAGACCCACAGCTCTGCCTCTGTGCGAAGTAGGACTAGAGGTGCCCACTTCCCTGTGGGAGGCGGAGCCCCCTCCTCCACCACCTGTGGGGGCTGCAGGCCGCACAGCCGACTGTCATGTCTCCTCCCACCCCCAGAGCCCGGGCTCCTGTGCCCACCTCGAGGGGACTCCATCCGGCCACCAGCCGTGCTTCCCTTTTGCCACCGGCCCTCCTGCATGGTGTACATCCATTTCTGGCCCACTTCTGGGCTCAACAGGCCTGGAGTTAGTTTACAGATGACCAGGAGTGAAAAATGTGCTTTAAAGTCCCGCAGTGTCATCCTGGAAGGGAGGAGGGAATGGCACAGAGAGGCACGTGGGACAACTCCCAGACCTGAGGACCAAGGACATGCACACCCTGTCCCAGACCAACCCACAACCCCAGGCTCTTGGGCAGAGCCACGCTGGCCTCACAGCCCGAGAGAGGGGCCTGGCAGATCAGTGTGGGTTCCAGGCCCGGGGGTGAAGCTCTGTGGCCCTTTGGTGCGAGCATCCTGCACCAGGACCGGCAGAGGAAAATGGCACCCTTTTCTCGGATGACAGTGACAAGAGCTGAATTGGGGCATCCATAACCAGTCCCTTGATTTCTAAATGTTCGGTAGGAATTGTACGAATCAGTCCTCAATCATTAATTGCCGCACGCTAACACTGTGAGCTGAGGCTGCCACAGCAGACACTGTCCGGGGCTCAGTTTCCCTCTCTGGAAAGTGGAGGAAACAGATTTGCAGGGCTTTTGATCTCAGTGGAAGGTCTCCCAAGGTGGGGGGCCACAGCAGTGTGGGTAGGAACGGGGGACAGAAAGCCAGGAACAAGCGCCAAGTGATTGGGAAGGGTGAGAAGCAAGAGGAGAAGGACAGGGGGTCTGTGAGACTCCGGGAGCACTGCCCCTCCGGTACCATCCGTGGTGATCTTTCCTAAAATGACGTTAGTAGCTTGAGGCGGCAGGGAGTAGCGCGGCTCTGTTCTGCAGGGCCTAGGTCCCTGTAGCAGGTTCTTTCTTATCACTTTCTCTTTCATGTTGTTTTGCAGTACTAGGGATTGAATCCAGGGCCTTCACACTGAGCTACATCTCTAGCCTATTTTTTTATTTTTTTGAGATAGGGTCTCACTAAGTCACTAAATTCCCCAGGCTGGGCTTGAACTTGCCATCCTCCTGCCTCAGCCTCCCAGAACTGGGATTATAGGCGTGTGCCATATACCCGGCTTGTCCTCCCTGTTTCATAACAGGAGAGTCAAAGCCTTGGGTTGAGTGTATTGATCAAATGAGCAGATGGAGGCCAGAGAGGAGGAGGAGGAGGAGGCAGCTGACCCCAAGACCTACTTGAGCACCCACTGGTCCCCATGCCAGCGGTCATTGCCTTTGGAACCCAGCCATGCAATGGTATCTTCTCTGCTCCTAAACACGGCTCCAGCCTTTCCTACAATGCAGGTGCAGAATGCTATGAGCTGCCCTGACGTGACCTTGACAGCCTGGCAGAACCAGGCTCCAGAGAGCACAGCAGCCCTGAGGAGCGAGAACAGGGCCTTGAAGACCCAAAACTGTAAGGAGAGGTGTCTCCAACAGTTGGGATCACCCACGAGTTCCACCTGGGCCAGCGTACAGGTGCAGAGTATTCCGCCGAGCTCTTGATTATGACCCATCAATCCACCCTCTATTTCCTCTTACCCTGGGGTGTTTCGATTCCTTTGCTGCAGACTAATCGAAGAGACAGATCTGAGCTTGCCACCTGTCTCCTCTGCTGGCCTTCAATGAAAGCCCTTTCTTTTTCCAGAAACCTGGAACCAGAGAATTGGCTTCTATTCAAGTCAGGCAATAAGCAAGTGCCTGCTCAATGTGGCCTGAGTCACAGAGATGGTGACAGTCTGCTTACAGTGGCTCCTGGCCCTGTCAGGGTGCATCTTACTGACCCTGTACATAAGACGCCCAGCACCCATGAGTTTAATCCAGTGTTTAATGGATGCAAGCGAGGGCCTTTGTCCCAAGTCAATACAAGAGCTGAGTCAAATACCAGAATTCTCCATCATTATCTTTCTGCAGAAGCAGAATCTTCTCCTTGGGGCTCAGCAGCTCCCATGTACTTGAGCTGAAAAACAGAAATATTTTCATGGAAAATGAAGAATTTGTGGGAGGGCATGCTAGAAAACCTTCAGCAAATGCTCTACAGCAGTGCTGGCAAACCTGTGGTCTAGTGACGTAACAGGCACGCAGAGCCCTCTCTGTCACCACGAGAGCCAAGTCACCCCAGCGGCCAAGCGTCAAATAACAGTTATTTGTTTCTAAATTAAAACCTCAGTGTTCAGGTTTAATTGCAGTATCGGCACTTTGCGATAAATGGGTTTTGGGTTGCCATTTGGGCACTCGGTCTCTAAAAGGTTCACCATCACTGCTCTATAGTGTCATTATTTCATATTATTTTCACTCTGCTTTCAGACAACTAAACATTCTTCATTATAAAAGTACCATGCAACATTAATGAATCATTTACTCTGAGCCAAGCACCGGGCTAGGTTCCCGACATACTTTATTTCATTTAAGGCTAACAGCTTTGAAAGATAGGGGTATTTATCCCCATTTTAGAGATTAGGAATCAGATTAAGAGAGAGGAAGTCACTTGCTTGAAGTCACATAACTATTAAATGTCAGAGGTATCCTTTAAGCTGGGTGTTGCTTATTTTCAAAGCCCATAATATTGAACTTCTACTTCTGGCTATAAAGGAGTAAAACTACATCAGCCTCCTAACCATAAACAACTAAAAGTGGATAAAATGCAAGCAGCTACATTTAACGTGGGACAAGCCAGCACAGGGTTCCTGAGAGGAGGGAAACAAATGAAATGAACCTTGCATCCCCAGGCTTCTTGCTGAAGGGAATTTCTTGGACAGTGATCCAGGGAGTAGAATCTAAAAAGAGAACCTAGCACTCTGTGTTGGAGCCCAGCCTGGGCAATTTAGCAAGGCTCTGTCTCAAAATAAAAAATAGAAAGGGCTGGGGATGTAGCTCAGTGCAAAGGCCCTGGGTTCAATGCTCTGTACTGAAAAAAACAAAACAGAACAAAACAATCTTTCTCACTGAGTGTAGGAGACAGAGTCTGGAGTTCAGAGACCGTGCGGGTAGAATGCTGGGGAAAGTGCCTGGAGGAGAGACTACATAAAGAAGACCCAGAAAACCTCCTGAGGGCTCCCCTCGAGCCTTTGGCTGAAATCTAACCTGTGCTTTCTTAAAGTGAAACTCCACAAAACTGGGCTAGACGCGGAACATTTCCCAGAGCTGGGAATCATGAATTCTCACCAGCAAGAGTTGAAAGACCTTATTGAGTACATGTGATCTTTACTAGATATCTCAGAGAGTCCACAAGTTACAACTGGAATCAAATTATCACTGATAGAAAGGTTTCTCTCTTGACCTGCCCAAAAAGTACTTAAAAACTTCAAAGTATCAAAACAATCCCTAAGCAATGTAAATACCTGCCAGAAAAAAAGAAGACTCTTTAAAGAATATAATACAATTCCACACTCAGGAACTAAAATTTATAATGTCCAGCAACTAATTTTAAAAAGTACTAGTTATATGAAGAAGCAGAGAACATGATTCATGGCCAGGATAAACGGTCAGTAGGAACTGATCTATATATGAAAGAGATTAGCATTAGAAGATAAGGACATTATAATAGCTATTATAAATATGTTCCATAGTCTCAAGGGTGTAAAGGGAAATAAGAACATGATGAAAAAAGAAATCATAAATATACAAAAATTAAATTTCTAGACTTGAAAAATATAATATTTGAAATGAAAAGTATACTGTATGAGATTAACAGAAATTAAACACTGTGGAATAAAAGCCCATCATTTTATTTAATTTTTTTCATTTTATTTAATCTTCACAACAGCTCTAGCTCAAAATAAGTATGAAGCTTGTCTGAAAATCACTCTGCTAGAAAGCAACAAAACTGTAATTTTACCCATTACCTATCTCTAATGTTAGTACTTGTCCTTCTCGGAAATGAATCACCACCACCAACAAAATGATGATATAATTCCGCAGCACTTTAAAATGTATGTATTTGTTTGGGTGACATTTTTTCACATACGTCCATTTCCTCTGACAACTCTTAACCTACAACACATGTAATGTAGCACATTCTACCAGGAGTAAAATGCAACTATTTTTCTTCACCTTCACCTTTCATCTATAAAAATGATCAAGCAATAATGCATGCATGGACATATCTGTATACTTTAAAGTGTTACATGGGGTTACACATTATGAATCTTCATAACAATGCGGGAAGGACTCTCACACCTGAACTCTCATTTTGCCTATTCCCTACAGCAAGTCTGTGGTCTTTAAACCCACGACGTCCCTTTGGGCTGCCTTTAGACCCAAATGACCTAAATGTAGGCATCTAATCCGAATGCCCAGGGGTCACTAAATGTAACCAGGCAGTCACTATAAGCAGAAAATCTGGGCCAACCCAGATTTGCCTACCATGGACCCCAGACACCCAAGAATGCACTGAACCATGTTAGGATCAGCACACTGAACTAACTCACCTAAATCCTTGATGGAGTCACACTGTCACCTTACCTAATTCACTTTATTTAAGCATCAGAAGAGTGGGGATGCAACTCTGTACTTTATAATAGCACTGATGGGGGGATTAAATGAGATAATAAAAGTTCAAAGAACTTAGCAGTGTTGCGAAGCCTTCAATAAGTATTATCTTTAATTATTCTAACAAAAAAGGAAGTTATTTATAGACCATAAAGCGTCTTCTAATGCAAGGGACCGAGCTTTGCAGTCTGAAGTCTTCTGGTCCAACCTGAGTCTAAAGGAAGCGCACATTTGAATCTGTGCTAGCAGCAACCTCCTTTGCAGCCCTCCCCCACCTCATTCTCCGCCTCCCAGACAGTCCAGAAGTTAGTTCACCTGTCACTCCAATCTCCTCTCCATTCCACCTTCCCCCAGGGGTTTCGTAGCTTCACTAGGTACTCAGGTCCATATTTGCAGGTCACCTGCACAAAATGAGGAGCAGTTTAGGAGGCTGGGGTAAATGCATGTGACACAGATATCTGGCTGAGACCCTTGCCTGCCGCGCAGACCTCGAAATGGAAAAATCAAAGACCTGGAAAGAGTGGTAAGTGACTCTGCTACTTGCACTTACTACCTGTAATATCCAAAACAAACTACCTAACTTCTCTGCATCTCAGTTTTTTGATCTGTAAAATGAGAATAATAGCCATACTGACAGCAGTGCTTTGAATAGTGTATGCCCCAATTACATTGCAAATGTAATGAATTTAAGGATCTTGAGGTGAAATCACCGTGAGTTAAGGTGTGGACCCTAAATCCAAAGATAAATGCTCTTGTAAGAGAAGAGAGAAGAAGACCCGCAGAGGAGGACATGTGAGGATGGAGGCAGAGATTGAAGTCATGTAGCCTACATCAAGGAACACCTGGAGCTACCAGAAGGTGGAAGAGTTAAGGACACATTGTTCATGAGAACCTTTGGGAGGGGTGTGGCTCTGCGGAGACCTCGATTTCAGACTTCTGGCTCTGTAAGCAGTGAGAAAAGAAATGTTTGCTGCTTTGAGCTACCCACCATGGGGTAATTTGTTACAGCAGCCTAGCAAATGAACATACCTACTCATGGCAGTGTTGTGAGTATTAAGGAAGCCAACATTTATAAAGCAGTTACAATCATATTTAGCACATAGTGCTACATAAATTTGTTAAATATAAAAGAAATATAAATACAAAATAAAGTAAACATTATTGGCACCCAAAAAAATGTGGTTGGAGATCTAGGAAAACGTACGTGAGTTGAGCTCCAGAAATTTGAAACAATTAAAGGAAACTGGAGGACACTGGGGAGTCAGCTCCCAAGGAATGCCCCGAGGTCTCAGCCTATGAATTTCTTACCTTCATGCTGTGCCCATGTTGCTCTCTCTACCAAAATATCCTCCTGCCTCACGCAGATCAGATCTGCCCTCTTGCAGGGGTCAATCAATGCCATTTCTCTATGAAGCCTTTTCTGACTTCCCAATCCACCCAGGTGAATGTCTCTTCTCCTGCTTCTGAGCTTCCAAAGCCCAGAGCCTACCTCTGAGTGCTCATATTCTGCTTGGCTTCCTTGTCCTTCTCAACTATAGGTTGTCTGGAACCTGGACTGTAAGCTCTCTGTAGCCAGGGCTCCTGTCTGAGCTTTCTCTCCATACTTAGGAGAGCTCAAAAGATAATGGAATTGAGGATGCTGGGAGACTGTTGAGGAGGAGTGTGTGAGAGAGAAGGAGCAACTTGGAGGGGAAGAACCAGGACCAAGGCTGTCTTTGGCAGCCCAGACCCATCTGAGGCTCGAGGAAGGGTTGTAGGCACAGCAGGGCTCAGCGGCCAACTGACTGAGGGAAGGCCCACAGGAAGAGGCTGGGAAGATGCACTGGGACTCACAAGGGTTGGACACAATACGATTTCAGGAAATAGATGCAGAGTTACCAGGAGCCCACCAAAGGCTTTGGCAAGTCCTGGAGAATCTACTGGAGACCTTATCCTTCTCCCCACCCCACTCAACACTGGGCGCTGACACTACATCCACTAAGACCGGCCAAGGCTTTGGAGAGAAGCTCTGAAAGAGGGGGCTGAGTGGGAAACGAGGGGCTTAGATAACCCCACCTTCCAGATTCCTGTGACAGTATAGGCATGGCCGTCCACCAGCCCGTTCTCCAGCACCCTTTCCTTCTGCAGAGAAAAAAGAGAGGTCCTGGTCAGTCCAGCAGCTTACTCCAGGAGTCGAGGGAGACCTGGAATGGATTTGGCTGAGGAGGGGTGTTTGGAGAGAGGGCTGGCAGAGAATCATGGAGTGATACACCTGTTTTGAGACAGGCCCGAAGCAAGGGCTTCCCACTCCAGTTCCATGTTCTTGGTTGTTGGAAATTGGACACAGAAGGTCCCTGCAGGCAGTTGCCACTTAATAATTATTAAGCCTCTTCTCTGCACACCATTTGTATTCTACTGCTGCCTTGCCTGCCCTGAGGACCCAGCTGTGCCACTCTGGTTTGAACATCAGGACTTGGTGCAAGGATTGGGTGGAGCCCCAGGGGCCTATGTAGAGGAGAGAGCAGAAGCTGGTGGGTGAAGGGGGTGGAGCAGGAGAGGAGACCCTGCTGCCTCTCTCTAGCCCTCTCTCACCCCTAAATGAGTCTGGCAGCCAATGAGGGTTCTGCTGTAGGTGGCTTGGGTTAGGGTGTGCCACAGGTTGCCAGGGGCTTCTGACAGGTTGATGGTCATTGTCACCCCTCCAGTAAAGTCCACAAGGGCTTCAGACACCTGTCCAAACTGCAAATCTTCATAAGAACCACAGAGCCTGCCCAGAGAAGGAATAAACATGAGACACAAAGGCAAGGGGCATTTACATGGTGGATGAGGTGGCCCGAATGAGTTGTAAACCCCTCACTTGGTTATTCTTTGGGTACGTAATTGCTACTCTTTCCTTCCATGGCAGGATCAAAAGATTGAAGATACACCTACAGTTCCTTTCCCCTGTAAACATCTCATTCATTAGGGAAAGGCAAAATTTCTGAGTGTTTGTTCAAAGGAGTGACCCCTCCGTACAAGACTCTGAGTATGTTCTCACTTTTATATTGCTTGACACACACCTCAGACCTCATTTCTTGAACTTTATCTGATTTCCCCCTTGCTCCAAGATGGAGAGATGAAGAAAGAGAAGGGAAGGAGGATGATTCTAGTGGTTGTCTTACTTGGCATAGGCCTTTTCCAGAAGGGCTCCCCAGAACAAGTTCTTACAGGTGGAGGAAACAAAGACCAACTGGCCAGCCTCATTCACAGGCAGACGGTCATCTATCACCACAGGAACCCACTTCCCAAAGTGCCAGAACTGGAGAGAGAGGTGGGGGAGAGAGAGACAGCCACTGGCGAGATGCCATGAAAGAGACTGCCTAAGAAGATGGGCCCAGAGGCCAAGTCCTGGCTCCTCCATCAGCCATCTTTGCTGTTTCCCCTACCCCCACCACTGGGCTGAAGTATCAGGAGTACACTCACCCAGAACCGGAAGATGCCCGCGTAATTCTCAGTGAAACTCTGATTCAGGGGAACAATCCGTCTCATGATGTCTTCATGCAAAGTCAGAGCTTGCAAAGCAGCCAAGAACCAGCAGTCCCCTAAGCCAGATGACACACTGACGCTCACGGATCTATTATGCATGCATGTACATCCTACCAGCACCTGCCTGGGTCTACTGAGGACTTCCTGCATGCAAAAAATGCTCGGTCCCAGTTATACTCTCTGGGCTCACAGCCTAATTTAGTAAAAGGAAATGACATGTCGGGAGGAGGATAGTGGGGGAGCAGCACAGGGGGAGAGGAACCCTGGTCGGAATCCAAACTTGACACCAAGAATTGAGCTATCTTCTTGAACCAGCATTCAGCTTCCTAAATGCCTCCTCCTTGGGAATGTGAACCCAAGCACAATGATAATTTCTAAATTCTGCCTCTGTGACCGATTTATGTTTTTCTGGAGAACACTCTTCAGCAGCTCAATTCTCTGTGAGTTGGGTGTCATTTTACTCAGGTCTTCACTGGTGGCCAAGATTTGTTTCTATTTACTCTAAAAAACCCTGAGCTCATGATAGGCCTGCCTGGACCCTAATGACTGGTGTTCCCAGAAGGAGACATTGTGAGAATTGAAACAGAATGAGCACATTTCCTCAAACTCAATTTAGACCATAAGCTGGTACTGAGGGCTATCTGGAGGCTTAGACGAGGTGTGACGTCTCTGCACATACCCAGAGGGCTGGCTTTTATGAACCTCCAGCTAAGGACGAAGCATGCTGCTGAGTGACCATTTGCACCCCCCACAGCTCCCTCAGTTGGACTCTCTGGGTTCCTCCTACCTCGGTTAGACCAGGGCAGATGGCCTGGCATGGACCTCAGAGGCTGTGTGACCTACCTACTACTCCCTGGCACAGATCCAGCCTTTTGGTCCTAGTAGAATAGAACTGAGGATTGCTGTGCAGCTCCTGGGGGAACAGACAGAATTGTCGTTATGATCAAGAATAAGGAAACTTGGAGCTACAGTGAGCATGTTTCCCATACTGTAAAACTCAACCAAGGGGGGCAACAGGAGAGAATATATGGTATCAGCACTGTTCCAGAAAATCAGGGATATAGATTCTGTCCATTGTATTTCTCATTCCTTCTTCCAGTTCATGTAAGTCAGAGTCCTAGAGAACTTTGTATAGACATCGAGAAATGCCTTTTCTCAAAGTTTCTATTAAAAGTAGTCTCCAGGCATTCTCATTTTTCCTAGAGAGTTTGTTCTTTCTCCTCCCTCCTGCTCCTCCTTCCCACTCCCACCCCGAAATGGGATGGCATCTTTGGCTTTTCATACTGAGATGGGGGCTGGGTGGAGGTGGGAAGAAGGACCAGACTGCTCTGTGACAAGAACTAAATCCCTCCTTTCTGCATGCAGACAGTTCCCTCAGGGGTCATGTGTGCGACACAGTCTCTATGGGAGCAGTGTCCAAGAGGCCCTGGGAGACGAGGAATCTTGCTGCCACCTAGTTTAGTGGGTCTCCTTGGGAATTTTGCACATAGTAGGGATTTTCATAAGTCTGGGGCTACAGGCAGTGATGGGGATGTCAGTGTAGGCAACAAAAAAGAGAAGAATCCATAGCGTAGGTTGACCTCACTCTGTTCTCTAACCTTGGTCCAAATATCATGATATAATCAGGTTTGAGGGAGACAGATTACATTCAAAGTAAGAAATTGCCCCTTTAAAGGAATCATTGGTACACTTTATAAAGTGAAGAATACTTTTGTAAAGTAATTAATAGCTCATTAATTTCCATGTTTTACGATCTGACTTGGGGAAGAGGGTGAGAGATGGTCTCTCGGGCAGCCGGTGCTGGCTGTAGCTCAGGACGCCGTGTCTCTCGGATGATGCCAAACAGGACCTCGATACGCTTGTGGTTGCATTTCTGGGCAGGGTCTAAGGGAGAGCTACATCTTAGACCATTCCCAACTTTTCCATCTGGAAAGTGGGAAGGTAAGAACGTAGTCAGTTCCCTTCTCATGAGGATTAATGACAGAGAATAAGACCTGGTATGGTATTGTGAAATATATATTTGGTTTTCCTCCTATTTCCTAGAAACTGCATACTCTGTGGAGTGATGAGTATTTTTTGTATGCTAATAAGGTGACTGGTGGCTAGGTCCCCGTGGAGAGCTTCAGGATGATGGTTGGTCACTGAAAGACCCTCATCCTCCTTGACCTTTGGAGGGTGGAGAGAGGCTGAAGGTTGAGCTGCTCACTCATGGCCAATGATGAAGTCAATCATGCCTATGAAATGAAGCTTTCATGAAAACACAAAAGGCCAGGCTTTGGAGCGCTTCTGGTTAGCTGAGCAGGTGCACGTGGAAACTCCACACCTCTTCCCCCATATCTCTTCCTATCTTTTCCATCTGTATCCTTGATAACATCCTCTATAATGAACACAAGTAAAGTGTTACCATGAGGTTTTTGAATCTCCCTAGAAAATTAATAGACCCCAAGGAGAGTGTCACAGGAATTTTGATTTATAGGTCAGAAGCACAGACTACAACCTGGGACTTGTGATTAGCACCTAAAGTGGGAATAGTCTTTCAGGACAGAGCCCCTAACCTGTGGGATCTGACCTACATCTAGGCAGACAGGCTCAGAATCAGGTGGAACCAGATGACACCCACTGTGGAGTGGGGGGGGGGCTCCTACATATCTGGTGTCAGGAGTATATGGTGTGTTGGTTGGGTGGAGGTCAGGGAACAGGAAAAATACTTTGTTTTTTCCCATATGTCTTAGATCACCCTGGCTTAGACACTTGGGTTTCAAGCACCAAGCTTTAGGCAGCACCACATCTTGGGCATACCGGTGGCAGCCCCTACCTGGCCCTTACCGGGGGTCGCCTCCACTGCAGGCGTTGAGGCAGCTTCTGCAGCAGAGCCCCACTGCCGATGGAGCTCTGGGTGGCTGGGAAGCTGCTGTCTTCGAAGAGGCAGTGGTCCCTCAAGCAGCGGTCCAGCAGCGCCTCATAGTTTTGCTGGGGGAGATGCAGAGAGCCCTGCATTGAATCCTTCCACCCCAGCTTCCATCTGCCTCCGAGAGGTGGACACAGAGCCATGGCAGGCTTGGCTGTGGTCCCACACTTCTCCCTGATAGTCTCCGCTCCTGAAACAAAGATCCATTGGAGGATGAGTTGTAGAGAATGTGAAAGGAAAAATGAGCAGAGGCAAAGGGGAGAAGAGAAGCAGGAAGCTGAGGCTCAGCCATTTGGGCTCGTGGTCTCCTTGCCTGCCCAGGCCGTGGCAGCAGGGTTGTCTCTGGGTCAGTCAGCTGCTACTGCTCAGTGGGCTTTTGTGCTCTCCAGTGGGAGAGGCAGACAGAAGCACCTTGGCACAGGAACAAGACTTTCATTTTTATGCTCAGGCACAAAGGGGAAAACCATCAGGGACAGGGACCCCAGACTGACCCAAACAAAAGACAAAGTAGAAAGCCTTTCAGGCACCTTTGCAAGGCCCTGGTCTCCTGATAACATCACAGGTCAAGTGGAGTTTTTGTTGCACCTGTCCTCTTCATCGGGCCCTCCATGGATGCATATCTGGTCTCCTTGCCATCTTCAGCCTCCAGTGTGGAATGTGAGTTTTACTATGCTAATAAAGTAAAGGTAACTTTAATGAGTATTCTACACACGCATTTGTCCCTTACCACGTGGAATTCGCCCTTTATCATCTGGGAAACTTCCTGACTGGGTTTGAGGGCAGAGTAGATCATATGCCTGCCTCAGTGGGCTTGATTATCATGATTGTCCTTGGCTCTGGCTTCTCAGGATCTCATGGACCACAGTCTCTGAAGGCCGAGCTGACTTTCCAACTTCCTGTCTCCCAGCGCTTTTCCTTCATTTTACAGCTGAAAGGATGGTTTGCTTCTTAACTCTCGAGTCCCTGGTATTTTGGGGAAACCCTTAAGACTGAGCACTGAGCTCACTGTCAGAGGCCCTCACAGGCTGTCAGCTGCTGCTCCTGGCTGCTTCCTTCCAGCTGCACATACCGCCAAACTCCTGCTTCAGCGTCTTCCTCATTTTCCCTGCAAAGTTTCTTTCTATGTTCTCTTCAAAATGAACTCCTTCCTTGACAACTTTTTTTTTTTTAGGCAAAGTAGAAGAACTCATATACATGGGTTGTGGTAAATACTAATCGTTGCTTCTTCTCTCCCTTTTCTTAATAACAGAATTCTAGTTTTATTTATTAATTTTTTGCTTAAATTCTTTTATTGGTACAGTTTAGGTATACAATACGTTTAATTTTATCATTGGGTGCTTGTACCTGTACATGATGTATCTTGGTTCTTATTTTTTCCCTATTACCTGTGCACCCTTCACCCCCTCCACCCCTCCCTATTTACATAGACTTTGTTTCCACTTTTTTCTTTTCTCATAATTTTTCCTTTCCCTTCTTCCCTTTCATCTTCCCCGCCCACTTCCCCTACGCCTTTGGACCTTTTCTTCCTATTTCAAATTATCAATTACAGAATTCTAGTTTTGATCACACAATTTAAAATGATTTCCTGGGATTTCTTGCCAGACAGGTTGGCTACATTATCAAGTTTTGGCTGATGAAATAAAGGTCCACTAGGTGGAGCTTTCTTGACCAAAAGCCACAGGCTCCCCTGACACCACTTTGATTTCTAACACCCCTCTTACTAGTCTGAAGCAGCTGTATTGGGACCATTAGGAGAAAAAAAACAAAACAAAACCACCGCATACCTCCTAGAAGAAGCCTGGATCTTGACGGCTTCTTTGAACAAATAGCCCCTTGTCTCTAGACTTCTTAGTACACAAGAAGGATAAACTTTCACTTATTCAAGCCATTGGAGTGGCTAGATGCCTCTGGTGTTCTTTATGTCAGTCACTGTATGCACAACCATAGCATGCCCCACTGAGACACAGTGGCATGGAAAACTCTTACACGTACTGTTAGGGAGCAATGGGTCCCTCCTCTGAAGCCTACTCACAAGCTCCTGTAAGCCAATGGGGCCCTGCCAACGCCAGTCTTCTAGCATACCCTTAGAACTCCTGCATCAATTTTTGTTCAGTGTGATTAGTTAGTTCAATGATCTTGTATCCTCTTATCATTTCCACTCATATCCACTTATAATTTTTTTTAAATCAAAGTTAGAAGAGGTCTTCTAAGTCATCTAATCTGGTATTTTTCAACATAGCAGTAGGATTTCTCTCATCAAATGAGACCAAAGCCTGGAGATTTGAGTTTGCAATTTGGACCACAATATACCTTTGCAAACTTTCTCGTTTGATGGTTTGAAAATCATCAGTTTCATCTAGTCACCTCATCTCATTTTTCTAGTGTTAAAACTAAATCCCATTTAGCCACTAAAAATTTTACTAGAGATTTACCATCTGCCAGGCTTGAATTAGCCCTCATTTGCTATATAGTCCCCATCCGCATGGCTCTTAATGGAAAATAAAATGTTCGTCTTGGTATTACTCAGGAAGATTTCATGAGAACAGAGACCCAGGGCCCTGAATCCCATAACAATGCTCAGCCATCCATGCCAGCATTTGCCTGGTGTGCCTAGTACAGAGCTCAGGGCACAATGCACATGTACTAAAAGCAGCCAGAAAACATGTCTGTACCAAGCAGAGTGCTCCCTCATGGCTGCAGGATGATCTGAGGGTCTGCTCTGTATGTCAAGACCATGTCCATTCTCCAAACACCAACCTGAGCACCTCCACCAGGAAGCCCTTCCTGAGTGCCTGGCCCTCCCTGAGTCCCCTCATCCTGTTGTCCATCGACTCATTGCCTACCCCCTATACGTCATACTGTCCTCAAATTGTCACTAGTGGAACACCTGTATTCTTTTATTTCTAGTTCATCACAGAAATTTAATGAAAATGAATTAATAAATCATGAAAATTTTACAACATACGAAATCAAGTTCCTCCTTTTAAAAGAACATTTTTAGATTCTTTGGAAATAAAATTATTTGGTCAGTTGCTATAAAAGTCCTAAACACTTACCCTCCGTTCTGTAGCAGCTCAGCACACTGCTAGGGACCAGCCGTGAAATGGCCTTGTCTTCAGATCACTTTGGGCTCTCCTCTGAGTGATTTATGCATGAAGCCTCCTCTCCTAATATGTGGGTGGGTTTTTTTTTAAGGTCTATGGGATTAACAGTGGTGGAATGTGGCCTGCTCACACCCTGACCTCTCTGTGCACTCAGGACAGCCTGATTCTCGGCTATTATTTGTCACAGACACACACACACACACACACACACACACACACACTTCCTGGGGGAAGACTTAGTCCTGCTAACCCATGTTATAGGAACTCAAAACCTGTTACCTCTTGCCCCTGAGTTTTTCTTCCTAATACAGACAGGTCGGCACAGCTTCCTCCAGCCTAACCCCATTTTCTTCCCAGGTTTCTTCTCCCATGTGTACATTTGTAAGCAAAGTCAAGGCCACACAAAGGCCAGAGACCTGTGTCTCTTCAAGCCTGAACAGCAATCCTTACTGCTTGTGAGGTGACAAATGGCTTCAGAGCTGACCCAGACTTGTGCCTTCCTTTCCAAGTGCTGGGTGACACTCAGACTCCTCTCCAAACCTCTGTTTACAAACACAGTGCCTCATGGGCTCAGAGGATAAAATGCCCATTACAGGATCCTCTCGCCCTCCAAATTTCAGAACGAGGCCACACACGTGGTTTTCTGATTTTCAAATAAGTATTCCTAAGTTACCTCCATTAAAATCTAGTCCCAGCAGTGCAGAGTCGGCAGTTCCTGCCTGACTCTTGTATATTACAAGCTGTGAATGAAACTGGATCATTCCCAGATTGGCCCTACTCACTCTCCCAAGGGCTCCAGGGGTCTTGGTGATATTTGGATATTTATTTTGACTACTGCAAGTGAACAGTGCCGGACAAGCGCATAAAATAAGACTGTGCAGGTGGGGAGGGGAAAGCTAACTGGGGCACAAGATAGGAGAGCGTGGGGCTTAAGGGCATCCTACCCAAGTCCGGGAGCTTTATTCCCAGCTCCCAGCTAGACCGTTGTATATTCTCCTTTTTCATTTTATTTTATGAAAAATAAAACAACTTCAAAACAAACTAACAGAATAACAATAGTTAATACACTGTGTCATTATCTTCAAAGTAGTTACTCAGAGTACCAGACAAAAAGATTCTTACAATGAAGAAACAAACTTAATGACTTTAAAAAGAAGAGAATAATTTCTCACTCATCTATGAGGTGACTTGTTTCTGAGGAGCCAATATTTATTGTAGGAACATTGGTAGGAAAAAAAAGAAATACAAAATCATCCATATTATCACTACTCAGAGGCAACATTTTGTTATAGCTTTTAGAGAACTGTTTTCCTACTTTTAATTATATTTTTATGAAAGTGAGATATTATGCATTATTTTATACCTTTTTTCACTTGCCAATAATAAACACTTTCCTTTGTCAAAAATTGAATATATAAAACCACATTTACTTATTGCCAAGTATAACGTACCATAGATCAACCAAAATTTATTTTTAAAATTAACTATTTGTAGAATTTCATGTTGTTTCCAGTTTTTCCTCTACTCTAAACAGTGCTGGAATTACTACATTTTAGCTATGTCTTTTGGCATATTTCTAATTATTTTTCTAAGATAAATTAGAAATAGAATGAAATCTCTCTAACCTAAAAAACCCCTTTACTAAAAAATTTAGGACAACATCATACCTTTTGAGGAAATTTTTTTTTTTAATTTTCTTGGAGAGAAAATAAAGATGCCATTTACTACCATTTTTATTTTTAATTGTGTCTTAGCATGAGATAAAATAAGTAAACAAGCATAAAAATCAGAGCAAACACAAATAATTATTAGCTGTATAAATATTATTCTTCATGTTGAATATCCAATAAAATGGGGAAAAAACTATAGGAAATACCAAAATTAAAGAAGTTCAATGAATGCAAAGTAAACATAATATACAAAATCTAGTGATGTTCTTTTTATAACAGAAACAACTAACTAGAAAATGTAATGGGACAAAAATCTATTCTTACAGCAACTCAGTTTACCGGTGTTGGCAATTTGTGTCATTAGGATATAAAAGTCAGTTAAAGGTTTCATGAGCAAAATGATGATTTCAGACACA